TTAGGTAGCCTTCTCTGTCCTCAACCCCCCAACCCCCCCTTCTTCCCCTTCGGGGAGGGGTTTACCCCTCCCCCTCCCCCCTCCCCCTGGGTCTGGAGAGGGCGGGCCGCGGGTCGTTGGAGGGGTCTTTTTCGACTCCTGGGAGGGCTAAAAAACGACGACCCTCACGAGGATTCTGGCCCCGACGGGGGCTGAGAAAAAAAAACTCCTCTTCTGTGAAGCCAAAAACATCGATTTTACCAAGGTTTTGGCCCCATTTTGGGCTTCTGAGGGGGCGGCGCTCATCGTCCTTCATAGCAAAACCATTGATTTTACAAAGGTTTTGGGCTCATTTTGTCCTTCTCAGGGGGCAGCTCTCATTTGCGCTTCTGAGGAGGTCGCACGAGGCCCTCAGATGGCCCCAAGACGCCCCCAGGAGGCTCCCAAGAGGCCTCCAAGAGGCCCTCCAGAGGCCCCCAAGCGGCCCCAAGAGGCCCCCAAGAGGCCCCCAAGAGGCCCCCAAGAGGCCCCCAGAGGCCCCAAGAGGCCCCCAAGAGGCCCCCAAGAGGCCCCCAAGAAGGATGCCCCCAAGGCCCCAAAGAGGCCCCCAAGAGGCCCCCAAGAGGCCCCTACGAGGAGCCCGAACGACTCACACCAGGACGAGGGGCCCGAACGACTCACACCACGAAGAGCCCGAACGACTCACACCACAAGGAGGGGCCCGAACGACTCACACCAGGACGAGGCGCCCGAACGACTCACACCACGAGGAGCCCGAACGACTCCCACCACGACGCGGGCCCCGAACGACCACACTACTACTACTTCTTCCTCTACTCTTACTACTTCTACGCATGGTGCTACGGGCACTATTACTACCAGTACTATCACTACGACTACTACTACGACTACTACTACGACTACGACTACGACTACGACTACGACTACGACTACTACTACTACTACTACTACTACTACTACTACTACTACTACTACTACTACTACTACTACTACTACTACTACTACTACTACTACTACTACTATACTGACTACTACTACTACTACTACTACTACTACTACTACTACTACTACTACTACTACTACTACTACTACTGACTACTACTACTACTACTACTACTACTACTACTACTACTACTACTACTACTACTACTACTACTACTACTACTACTACTACTACTACTACTACTACTACTACTACTACTACTACTACTACTACTACTACTACTACTACTACTACTACTACTACTACTACTACTACTACTACTACTACTACTACTACTACTACTACTACTACTACTACTACTACTACTACTACTACTACTACTACTACTACTACTACTACTACTAGTGGTACTACTACTTCCACTACTACTACTACGAGTGATACTCCTACTGCTACTATTATTACTACTACTACTACTACTACTACTACTACAATACAACTACCACTACTACGACCACCACTACTACTCCAGCGAAGCATGGCGACCGTGGTGTGCTTCAGGCGTGTCTCCGCGTGCCCTCGCGCATATCCCCTGCGCCTTCTTCCTCCTGCCTCTTTTTCTATCTTCCTACATCTATCTTGTTGAGGGAGCCGACGAGGAGGAAGAGGAGGAGGGAGAGAAGGCCATGGGAGGCAAGACAGAAGGCGGTCGTCCTCGAGTCCTGCACGTAACCGACTCTGACGACTCACACGACGGCGACCTCTCAGACGATGATGACGGCGACGACGACAACGACGACGACGACCATGCTTACGATGACAACGACGACTTCGACGACGACAATTCAATGGACGACGGCGTCGAAAATCCAGCGATCTTTCCCGACCAGTTCTGCAGTGCGCACGCGGCACAAGTCATTACCGCGCTATGGCAACGAACCCATGGTCTGCGCATTGCGCACCCTACTGCGGCCCTGCCGATGCAGTGAAAAACGATCTGCGGAATCACGGAACTCAGAGTGTGCACGTCCTGGACCAGACTGCAGGTGGTGTGAGTAGTTGGGGCCCCTCGCCCTGGTGTGAGTCGTTCGGGCCCCTCCTTGTGTGAGTCGTTCGGGCCCCTTGCCGAACGACTCACACATCGAGGAGGGGCCCGAACGACTCTGACCAGGAGGGGGGACCCGAACGACTCACACCAGGAGGAGAGCACCGAACGAATCCACTGCACCGTGGTAGCGGGCACACCCACCCATTATTGATGCAGCGGTGTTTCACAAGGTACTCCGAGTACTGGACGAGAGACTATACGCCATCTCAGCCCACTGCCGGACACCCGAAGGAACCCCGCAATCACCAATAATAAGAGGCAACAGCGGCGAGTACACCAACCAGCACCATCACCTCAGCAGAATAACAAGCACCAGTAGAGAATACAGAAACCAGTACCAGCGAACCCACGAACGGAAACTCAATTGAGGAAACATCTCGTCTCCCCACTCGCTCCCCCCAGTCGTGCAATCCACTGTATCCGAAAAATCGGCGAGTACACTAACCAGCACCATCACCTCAGCAGAATAACAAGCACCAGTACAGAATACAGAAACCAGTACCAGCGAACCCACGAACAGAAACTCAATTGAGGAAACATCTCGTCTCCCCTCTCGCTCTCCCCAGTCGTCCAAACCACTGTATCCAAACGTCATCTCACCAATGAACCATCACTGAGTACAGAGACCCGCACTCCCACCAGAACTCGGTAACCAGCACCATCACGGAGTACACGAATCAACACCAGAGAACCAAAGCACGAGAGGCTATATACCATCTCATCCCAGTGCTGGACACCCGAAGGAACCCAGCAATCACCAAGAATACGAAGCAATAACGGCGAGTACAATAAAAAACACCATCACCTGAGCAGAATAACCAGCACCATTACAGAATACAGAAACCAACACCACAGGTAGTGTCGCCAGTAGTACAACGGAGACGACGAGCTTCGCGCCGCACCTCATCGTCCCCAGGCTTTGCTCCACCATTCGGGAATCGGTTGCAACTCGTCCAAGAACTTGCGGTCGTCGGCGGATATCGCTCCGTCGCTGCCCGGCCAGCGTTTCTCTCCGAAAAAGACGGGGGTCAGCGGGCATTGGGCCTGCGGTTTTGGCCCCACGTTGGCCTTCTGAGGGGGCAGCGCTCCTCTTCCTTCTTCTTAAAATCATTGATGTTACGAAGGTTTTGGGCTCATGTTTTTCCTTCTCAGGGGGTAGCGCTCATTTGCGTTTCTGAGAAGGTCGCAAGAAGCCCCCAAGAGGCCCCAAGATGCCCCCAGGAGGCTCCCAAGAGGCCTCCAAGAGGCTACAAAGAGGCCCCCAAGAGGCCCCCAGAGGCTCCCAACAGGCACCCAAGAGGCTCCCACGAGGCCCGCAGAGCCCCCAAGAGGCTCCCAAGAGGCCCCCAAGAGGCTCCCAAGAGGCGCCCAAGAGGCCCCAAGAGGCCCCCAAGAGGCTCCCAAGAGGCCCCACGAGGAGCCCGAACGACTGACACCAGGACGAGGGGCCCGAACGACTCACACCACGAAGAGCCCGAACGACTCACACCACAAGGAGAGGCCCGAACGACTCATACCAGGACGAGGCGCCCGACCGACTCACACCACGAGGAGCCCGAACGACTCACACCACGACGCGGGCCTCCAACGACTCACGCCACGTGGAGCCCGAACGACTCACACCACGTGGAGCCCGAACGAGTCACACCAGGAGGAACAGGAGGGATATGCGGGGCCAAGCGGACACACGCCTGAAAAACACAACTGTCGGCACGCTTCGCAAGAGTTGCTGTTGTGAGATGGGCTGGTGGGGATACGCGAAGCGTAAAGAATATTCCTCCTGTAGAGGGACAGGCCCGACTTAGCCGTAGAGCCTGGGCGCGGCATGGCACGGCACACGTGTCGCATTCTCGAGCTCAAGCGCGGCACAGCAAGCAGGCGCGGCAAGGCACATCCTTCCCAGGGAAGGGCTTCAGCCTAGGATTCTCTTTGTCTTGGCGCGCCTTTGGCCCTTGTACGAGAAGGATGTCGAGTAACAAGCGTCGGAGCTTGACATGTCCAGAAATAGGTGCGCGGAGGGGGCGTCTCCAACATGCGTCTTGGCATGCAGGTGTTCAGCATGTTTTGTTGTTCAGATGCTTCTCACCATAACGTGACCGACAGGGGGGGACACAACTTCTGGTCGCCAGAGCCTTTACACGTAAGAACATTTGTCGAGCAGCAAGCGTTGGAATTAAGCATCTAACAATAGTAAGGAACCGAACTCTATACACACACGCTTTTCCTGGCCCCGCACTGGAATTGGGACAGGAAAGCGGATCCTAGTGTCTGCGGGATCCTGGTGTATACATTTTTCGTTGTTCCCCCGGGAAGCTGTTCCCCCGGGAAGCGGAAAACAACAAATATGCACCACACCATCCCGACGTCGTCCCCCACCCCCAAAAAGTCCCGCGATTGAAAAAAAGCCCGCCACTGGTAATGTACATGCTCCAGCTCCTGACATGTTTGTGTGTGTGTGCGTGTGTGCTTGTGTGTGTGCGTGTGTGTGTTTATGTGTGTGTGCGTGTGCGTGTGTGTGTGTGGTGTCTGTGTGCGTGTGTGTGTGTGTGTGTTTGCGTGTGTGTGTGTGTTGTGTGTGCGTGTGTGCGTGTACGTGTGTGTGTGTGTGCGTATGTGCGTGTATGTGCGTGTATGTGCGCATGTGTGTGTGTGTGCGTGTGTGTGTGTGTGTGTGTGCGTGTGTGCGTGTGTGCGTGTGTGCGTGTACGTGTGGTGTGTGCGTGTGTGCGTGTATGTGCGTGTTTGTGCGCGTGTGTGTGTGTGTGCGTGTGTGTGCGTGTGTGTGTGTGTGCGTGTGTGTGTGTGTTTGTGTGTGTGTGCGTGTGTGCGTGCGTGTGTGTGTGCATGTGTGTGCGTGTGTGCGCGTGTGTGTGTATGTGTGTGTGTGCGCGCGTGTGTGTGTGTGTGTGTGTGTGTGCGTGTGTGTACATGTGGAGGGGGACCCCTGGCCTCGCGACCGCGAGCAGCTCCAGGACGAGCGGCCAGCGCCCGCCGCGGCCGCACGCGGCGGCCAGCGCCCCGCACGCAAAGGCGTCCGCCCTCAGGCGCAGGCGCGGCAGGCGCGCGAAGACGGCCAGCGCCTCCCGCCAGCTGGCCTCTGCCCGGCAGGCGGCTGGCGCGGGGGGAGGAAGAGGAGGAGAGGAGAGGAGGAGGAGGAGGAGGAGGGAGGAGGAGGAGAGAGGAGGAGGAGGAGGAGGAGGAGGAGGAGGAGGAGGAGGAGGAGGAGGAGGGAGGAGGGGGAGGGGGAGGAGGAGGGAGGAGGAGGAGGAGGAGGAGGAGGTGGGAGGAGGAGAGGAGGAGGAGGAGGAGGAGAGGAGGAGGAGGAGGAGGAGGAGGAGGAGGAGAGGAGGAGGAGGAGGAGAGGAGGGAGGAGGAGGAGAGGAGGAGAGAGGGAGGGGGGGGAGGAGGAGGAGGAGGAGGAGGAGAGAGAGGAGGAGGAGGAGGAGGAGGAGGAGGAGGAGGAGGAGGAGGAGGAGGAGGAGGAGGAGGAGGAGGAGGAGGAGGAGGAGGGGGAGGAGGAGGGGGAGGATCGACTCGACAGCAGCAGCAGCGGGGCCCGGTTTCAGGGCGGCAGGGGCGCAGCGGCGCAGTCGGCGGCGGTCAGAGGAGAGACAGCGGAGCCACGCACCACCGGACAACGCTCGGGTGTGCCACAGCCCAGGGAGTCGCCCTCCCCCCTGCGACGTGTGCTCAGTGCCGACGGTTGGGGAACCCACAGAGGACGTACGCGCCCAACCACGTACACGAGCACGGCCCCCCGGTCCGCGAGACCAGCCGCGTGACACGGACGCTCGCGCAGTTCGCACTCTCGAAACCAACGTGGATTCATGTGCGTGTACGTCCTTCCTTCGCTCCTGAGTGGTCTCTGTTTCTCCTCCCAGGCAGGCGGCGGGTGGTAGGCTTAGGTCGGGCATGTCCCCTACAGGGGAATTTTGGTCGAAAAATTGCCGATACCCTAAAAATGCCCCAAAGTAGCAAACAAAATGCTCGACGAATCGCCCCCCGACTAGTTCCTTGACTATTCTTCAACGTTCCTCCTGCAGAGGGACAGGCCTGACTTAATGGCAGGCGGCAAGACGACAAGCGCACGGCGCCAGGCCAGGGAGTCCTCAGGTCTGCGCGGCGCAGGCGGCGGCAAGAAGAGCGCCGGGCCGCCGCTTCTCGTCGCTCCGGGGGCCTCCGTGGGGCCGTCGGCAGGACCCTCGGGGCCACCCAAGGGTACAGCTCGGGGCGAGAGCTCAGAAGCGGTCGACGCCGCCCCCGCCCCAGGGGGGGGAGGAGGGAGGGGGTGACGCCACGCAGAAAACATGCAGACGCCAGAGGTTGGAGGGGAAGAAGGAGGAGGAGGAGGAGGAGGAGGAGGAGGAGGAAGACAACAGTAACATGCTCGCTCCTAATGTCCGTCTAACGTAAAAGAGGAGGAGGGGGAGGAGGAGGAGGAGGAGGAGGAGGAGGAGGAGAGGAGGAGGAGGGAGGAGCGAGGAGGAGGAGGAGGAGCGAGGAGGGAGGGGGTGACGCCACGCAAAAACGTGCGGACTCCAGAGGTCCGAGGGGAAGTGCGCGCGGAGGCGGCGGCGGGCGCCGCCAGGGGGGGGGGCGCCGAGGGCCCTCTCCTCCGTGTCGTTCCCGGGGGGAGGCGACCCTGCAGATCACCTGATGAGGGCTCCTACCGTTGAAGAAAACAAGAGGCCCATTCATCCGGCGGCGGGCGCAGGGGACATCGAGAAGAGGCGGGCCTCCTCGGCAGGCTCGGAGGTCGCCTGGCCTTCTGAGAAGTGGCCCGAGCCTTTCCCGAAGACGCGAACGATTTCGCAGAAGGCCGGTGCGCTCCTGAGGAGCCCCGCCGCCTTCCGAGAAGGCCTCCGCCTTCTCGCTTTCCCCCCTCGCTCGCCGCCGATTCCTGGGCCCTCCCCTGAGAGATGCCACTGGCTCGCCGTCGCTCGGATGTCCATTTCCCGTGCATTGTTCGGTTTCGTGCGTGTTTTTTTCGCTCGATGGTCCAGGGTGGTCCCCGCCGAAAAAAAAAAAAAATGCACACGTCCGAGCGATGCCAGGCTGGTGGGCGCCCGCAGCAGCCTCTCACTGCCTGCTGCGGGGGGGCTCCGCTCGAATGCCCCCGAGTGGCCCCCGAGCTGCCGCCCGCGAGGGGCCGATGGATTCTCGGAACGTGTGCTGAGGCCAACGTGCGCTGGTCCACCGAGGCCCATCATCACGACGCAGACGGCGTGGCGAAGGCCGAAGTATCAGGCGGCATGCTATCGGCGGAGCTGAGCTACGGGACGCGAAAACGACCACAACCCCTGCTTTTTTTGTTGTTGCCGCCTTCCGGCCAGCAGGAACAAAGCAGTGGTTGTGGTCATTTTCGTTAAGCTTGGCACCAAGGAAATGACCACAACCACTGCTTCTTTTTCGGCCGGCTGGAAGGCGGCGCAAACAAGAAGCAGTGGCTGTGGTCATTTTCCCGTCCCGCATAAGCGGGAAAAACACAAATTTGGCTAACACATGTAAATAATGAGAATTATCGAGAGGGTGTTTTTCCCCGACGCGTAGGATCGGCAGCTCCCATGGGCGGTGTGCGCGCGGAGTGGTGCCGCTGCAGAGGAGGAGTCGCACTCTTCGGGGGGGCGGGGGCGGGGGGCGGTTCGGCCACTGATGAACCAGACAACAAGCGACACCGCCCCACCTAAGGCCCAACGGGCCTCAACATCTACCATGAGTTCTGGCTTGGGCTTTTGCGTGGTATGCGCTACGGTGGCGCCAGACTGGCCGTAGCGCAACATGGAGGGCCGCAGGCGGGGTGGTGCCTTTTGTATCTTATTTTGGTCGACGGCACTGACGAGCAGCATCCCGCAAGCTCCCGCTGCAGACATCTAACGAAAACTGGGCCGTCAAATCCCAGGACGAGCTCGTCCAACAGCGTCGGCAGACCCGAGCTCCAGCGCACTCGAGTCTCACGTTCCCCCGACGACGGCCACTGCCCGAAACGAGATCCTCGCACCGCGCCTGGAGGGAGGCGCGGCGGGAGGCGAGGCAGCCCGCCTTGGGCGCCTGCTTCCCGAGGAGCCTGGCCTGGACCCCTAGCGGCCGCGGCGTGGTCCTCGTCGGAGTCTTGCAGTCAACGCGTAGAATAAGGACGCGCGGCAAGGATGCAAGGGCCTTCGAAGGCCACGTCGACGCCTCGCGAGCGAGGCGCGGCCGGCGGAAGCGGCCCCAGGATGGGCCGAAGGGGGAAGGACGCAAGGGCAACCCTGGAAAGCTGCCCATCCTCACTCTGCGGGTTGCCTGTACGTCCCCCGGCGGGAGGAATGGAACTCTTCGGGGGGGGGGCGGGGGGCTGTTCGGCCACTGACGAGCAGCATCCTGCGAGCCGAAGCGCGGCGCACGGGCCGCAGGGGCCAGCGGCAGAGGGGCCAGGCGGGCAGAGGCGGACGAGCAGGGTCACGGCCCCCCCCCCCCGGCCTCGACCCCGAACAGTGCCTGTCGTGTTCGTCGTGTCTTCGCTTTCCCTCGGTCCGTCTTCGGTCCGCCCTTGATGCAAGACGGCACCGAAACGGAAACGGGCCACGACGACAAAACATTCTCCTCCTCCTCCTCCTCCTCCTCCGCCTCCTCCTGCTCCTCCGCCTCTGCCTCCTCCTCCTCCTCCCCCTCCTCCTCCTCCTCCTCCTGCTCTTCCTCCTCCCCCTCCTCCTCCTCCTCCTCCTCCTCCTCCACCTCCTCCTCTTCCTCCTCCTCTTCGAGGCCCTTCGAAGGCCTCGGGGAGCTCACGAAACGTGCCAGGAGAGGCCTCCCTGACACGCACATGCGACGGCGCGCGCACTCGTTCCTCGTTCTACATCCTCCCCCTGCCCATGTGAGCGTTCTTGTATTCGGCGTTTCGACATTGGGCGGAAGGGGGGGCAGGGGAGGCGGGGGTCTGGCTCCGGACCTCTGCTTAGCGCGACTGTTTGGGACCGTGCGTCCTCTGGGGGAGACTCCACCCGCCCGAAACAGACACCCAAAATACGCCAAGATCCACTCCAGGGGGGGGGTGGGAAGGGGGGGGGCGAGGGCCCGCGCCGATCGGCAAAAGAAGGAATAACAAAACGCCCACCACGATTTGGAGCTAAGTGGTCCGTCCAAGCAGGAGGGCCGAGCAGAGAAGTTATGCGGACCTGGGTGGCGCAATGTGAAGGGGCCCTGGGACACACAAAGAAATACACACAAAAATAAAAAGGATTCCCCATATTTTCCCACATTTTCTGGGTTTTCGTCTTCCCCCCCACTTCCTATATTTTCCCATATTTTCCTGGGGGTCGACGATTCATTGTGTCTGTGTGTTTTTTCCCCTCCTGACAATGGCCCCAGGGTAAAACAAAAATCCGCCGATACTGTCGGCGCGTGTGAGAGGCTTCTCCGTTTGAGTTGTCGTCGTCCTGGTCGGTGCTTCACCCCTGTCCCCGGGCTCTCCTTCTCAAACTCTCCAGCAACAGTGCAATCGAACCACTTCCCTGTCGAGTCGAAAGGAAATTCCCTTCCCTCGACTCGATATCGACGAGGGGGGGTCCCGGGGGGGAGATACGTTGATACTGCGGCCCGTTGGTCGCTATTGCGGCCCGGTGGGTGTTAGTATGGCCAGGGTTCCTCCGGAGGGTATTAATCAACGAGTGCGGTGATGGGGGGGGGTCCCAAAAGAGGTCCCCCCCCCCTTCACCGAAGAGCCTCTCGGAAGAGCCTCTGGGGCTCTCCAGAAAGCCTCTGGGGCTCTCCGAAGAGCCTCGTCGAGCCGCCGAAGAGCTTCTTCGAGCCGCCGAAGAGCCTCTTCGAGCCGCCGAAGAGCCTGTTGGAACTGCCGAAGAGCGTCTTGGAGCCGCCGAAGAGCCTCGTCGAGCCGCCGAAGAGCCTCTTGGAGCCCCCGAAGAACCTCTTGGGCTCTCCGAAGAGCGTCTTGGAGCAGCCGAAGAGCCTCTTGGGCTCTCCGAGAGCCTCTTCGAGCCGCCGAAGAGCCTCTTCGAGCCGCCGGAGAGCCTCTTGGGCTCTCCGAAGAGCCTCTTCGATCCTCCGAAGAACCTTTTGGAGCCGCCGAAAAGCCTGTAGGGGCCTCCGATGAGCCTCTTC